ATTAAAAATACGGCGAATATATTTGAATGTGGGTGGCACTATTTGAGTGATTACATGCGATTTCCCAAGCAATGGGCAATGTAAAGTGAAAAAATGAAAAAAAAAAAAAAAAGTGAAAAAATGAAGAATCGTACAATAACATGGGTGTGAACTTTTGCTTAGAAGTAGGGAAAGTACGTCAACTTTTGCTTTGAACTTTGAGTTTCTATATCGTTCTCAAAATTGTTAAGAACAAGATTTGTACTTTGAAATTTCAAGAATTTTTTTAAAATGGGTGTGAACTTTCAGTTGAAAGGACAATGTGACGTCGTTTTGAATTTATATTATGGTGCATGTTTTATCAATAATTTTAATAGCGGGCGTCGAACTTGGAGTATAATAATAAAAGTGGGGTGTCAAAATACAATTTTGCTAAAAGTATTTCGTTTTGAATTGTCAGGGTGAAACGAATTGAAATTCTCTAAACCGATCTAAACATAATTGGCTAAAAGAGTTTGTAATCCTACTATAAAAAAGAGAGTTTATAATCCTCATTGTAAGGAAGAAAATCATAAAATTTGGATCAACTAATAATGTGATTACTAAGGAGAAAAATGTGAACATATCGTGTACACTAGATGTTATAATTATACGTTATGTGAAATATGAATGACTGAATGTACAATGCAACTGGCAGATTTCTAATCGGGATCGAACTGGAGTCAAAAGCAATTGCACATGACTTAAACATTAGCGAGTGGGCTAAATGTGAACATTGATTGGATTATTGGAACATTGTAAACTAATTTTGTACTTTCACCCAAACATTTAAATATTTGTTTATGTCCATGAAAGAGTAGGATCTGCTTTAAAAGCATATCCAAACACCCTTTACTATTGTTCAAATATTGAGCATCATGTTTTGTCTAACATAAAGAATCATAGTCTTCTTAGATTTCTTGTGCTTCTCCTTTTGCGAACGAACCAAATTATATTTTTTCCATTATACTCCTCGAAAATTTGTTCCTTAACTCGTACGTATTCGCCGCTAAGAATAGCATAATAGCCAAAAGTGCGATTCTATTTGTTATGCCCTTGCAAGCATAATTGTACATATTAGATCAACACAAGAACAATCACAATACTAACTTTTTAATGATTTGACATCAACTCGATCATGCTAATTAGATGTGTATATAATTCGAGCTTTAATTTAGAGGATTTGCAATTTTAATTTAACTTTTGACGACGGTTCTCGTTATTGGTCATATAACTGATAATTTTTGCAATATTAGGACTTTTTCATTGGAAAAAACAGAAAATTCTATGATTTTGTTAGGGTTTGCTTTGGAAGAGGAAGAAAATCAAAATTGATTAAAACTTATTAAGATTTTAGCCTTTATATATAATGAAAATATGCAAATACGTAACATCACCTCATCTAAATTTGAATAACTGAGTTTGATTCAATTTTTTTTTTGAGAGTTTGATTCAAAATTTTGTTTCCTCCTAATTTTCTTTTCTTCAGAATCTGACCTCTGTTTTCTTTCTTATTTTATTTCCGATCCTAGAATCGTGTGATTGCATACTGACCCAAAACATACATCAAGCACCCCATATTGAAATTGGTAGAATTATTGCCATTTTGAGCATAAAACACGAAACATAAACCATTAATTTTGATACAAGCTTTTACGAAGCCACTTATGCAATTTTATTTTCTTTTCAATTCTGAGTTATAATGAACTTCTTTCTTAAACCATTTCAACTACAGTTGAGTAGTTGAGTGATTTCTTTCGTATTAATTACTATTAGCATCTTCTTTCGTGTTTTATGCTAAGAGGCTTGAATTATAGTTACGTTTCACAAAGTTTTTATGAAGGGAAAATCGCACTTTTAGTCCTTGAAATAGTCACGAAAATCAAATGTCGGACCTGTATTCCCAAGTTTGTAAATGTCGTCACTCGATTGTCCTAAATGTTGTAAATGTGGTCCTTTGAAGGATGAAATATACAGTGTGGGCGAGAGTACATTTCACCCCTTAAAGGACCACATTTACATCAATTTGAACAATTGAGGGATGATATTTACAGGGACTATTTCATTTTCGTGACTATTTCAGGGACTAAAAGTGCGATTTTCCCTTTTATGAATAAACATTTCCCACTGTGAAAATAATGGGAAAGAGGTACTCCAATAGGAGTCCTGGCAGGTATATTTATATTAAACGAGAGTTTCCAAAAGACACAAAGTTTCCTAAATTATATAAACTATTACACCCCCTCAAGCTGTGCGGGAGATACAACGCGCAGGTTGTCTTTTAAAAAATTAAACTGTTGACTAGACAATGCCTTAGTGAATATATCCGCAAGCTGCAAGTGTGTGGGAACATATTTCACTAATAAATCGCCATGAGCAACTCTCTCACGAACAAAGTGATAATCAATCTGAATATGCTTGCTGCGAGCATGCTGAACTGGATTAGCAGTTAAGTAGGAAGCTGAGATGTTGTCACAAAATAACTGCACAGGATCACGGATAGGGTAGCCGAGCTCAAATAGGACCGAACGTATGTGGAGTGTGTCCTGTACTGTGTATGCAATGGCTCGGTATTCTGCCTCTGTGGAAGACTTGGACACTGTAGGTTGCTTCTTGGACTTCCAAGACACAAGGTTAGGACCTAGAAAAATAGCAAAACCTGTGGTAGAGCGAGAAGTATCTGGACAGCCTGCCCAATCAGCATCCGAATATGCCAAAAGACACAAAGAGCGGACAGATTTCTGAAGCCACAATCCATGATCAAGTGTACCCTGTAAATAACGGAATATGCGCTTGACAGCAAGCATGTGAGTGGTGCGTGGGGCATGCATAAACTGAGACACTAAATGAACTGCATAAGTAATATCAGGTCTTGTCAAAGTTAAATATTGTAATGCACCTACCATACTACGATACTCCGTAGCATCAGCAAGAAGTTCACCATCAGTGAGAGAGAGAGATGTACGAGTGGCGACTGGGGTGCGAACAGACTTGAGAGTGTGTAAGTGAAAACGAAGAAGAAGATCAGAAACATATTTTTGTTGAGACAAAAACACTCCTTTAGAATTTCGAACAGCCTGGACTCCCAAAAAATAATGAAGATCACCGAGATCTTTCATTGCGAAGTGAGAAGCAATACAGGTAATAAAAGAAGACACAAGAGATGGAGAATTGCCAGTAATAATAATATCATCCACATATAATAATAAATACATAACTGACTGACCGTGACGGTAAATAAACAGAGAATTATCTGACTTACTACACACAAAATTATGAGTAAGTAAGAAACTACTAAAACGATGGAACCACGCCCGCGGGGCCTGTTTGAGACCATATATGGCTTTGCGCAAACGACACACATGATGAGGAAACTGGGGATGAATAAAACCCTGCGGTTGACGCATATAGACCTCCTCTGTAAGATGACCATGAAGAAATGCATTTTTAACATCCAACTGACGCATAACCCACCCAAAAGAGATAGCAAGAGTAAGAACGATACGAACAGTGGTGGGTTTAACAACAGGACTAAACGTCTCAGAAAAATCTACACCAGCCTGCTGATTATACCCCTGAGCTACCAAACGTGCTTTATGACGCTCTATCGACCCATCAGAGTGAAATTTAGTTTTATAAATCCATTTAGACCCAACCACATTCTTAGAGCTGTCAAATGGAACTAAATCCCAGGTATTATTGGAAATAAGCGCATTAAATTCATCTGCCATAGCCTCACGCCAAATTAAATGTTTTTGTGCCTCAGAAAAGCAAGTAGGATCAACTGCACTAACCACTGTGTTTAACGTAAAAATTGATTTGGGTTTAAAAATACCGGACTTAGCCCGAGTTTGCATGTGATGAACATTAAATCGGGGACCAACTGTGGTGATGGGAGGAGAAGACGGAACAGCCGAGGACTGTGGACTAGGCGGAGGATGAACTAATGGGAAGGGGCTGGTCGGAGAGCTGGGTAGGGTGTCGGCCGAACCTGGGCTGAAGGGAGTAGGGGTCTGGTTGGTGTTTGAGATGACCGAAGGTGAAGTTTGGGAATTGACTAAGGGTGGGGCGGACTGGGAGCTGACCGAGGAAGGTACCGAGAATGGGGTTGACGGAAAACTGGCCGAGGAGGGTGCTGAGGTCGTTGGGTTGACAGAAGGAGGAGTTGGATGGATAGGAAGGGAGGTAGCTGAGGAAGGTCGAATGATATTGGTAAGGGTGAATTGAATATTATCAAGGGGAGGGGAGGATAAGTCAGAAGAAGAAGAGGTTAGGGAGGTAAAGGGAAAACTATGTTCAATGAACCTAACATGACGACTGACATATATTCTACCGGATTTAGGTTCAAGACAACGATACCCTTTATAACCAGATGCATAGCCAAGAAAAACACAATGAACAGAACGAGCTGAAAGCTTGTTTGCAGAAGAGGCTGAAATGTTTGGAAAACATGAGCAACCAAACACACGCATAAAGGCATAGTCAGGGACTTTTTGGAAAAGTTTTTCATAGGGAGAAGAGTTACCCAGTAACGGAGAAGGTAAACGATTAATAATATATGCAGCCGTAAAAATAGCATCTACCCAGAATTGACTAGGAATAGATGCTTCAAGTAGCATAGTCCTAGTGAGTTCTAGCAGATGTCGATGTTTACGTTCAGCAACCCCGTTTTGTTGGGGCGTGTCAGGACAAGATTTTCGAAAATATATTCCATGGATATCAAAAAATTGCTGCATATTAGAATTAACAAATTCACCCCCTCCATCACTTTGAAAAATTTTAATTGTAGTATTAAAAAGGTTTTCAACCAAGGCTTTAAAATTTTTAAAATGATGAAACACTTCCGCCTTTGTGTGCATGGGATACAGCCAGGTATAGCGAGAAAAATCATCAATAAAGCACACATAATATTTAAAACCCAAATTAGATAAAACAGGAGACTGCCAAACATCCGAATGAATTAATTGTAAGGGCATAGTAGTATTATGAGTAGCATCCAGAAAGGGTAGACGTTGAGATTTGCCTAAACGGCAAGAAATACAGTCATGGGAAAAGGGAGATATACTACTAATATGATGCTGACTATGTAAAGTACGTAAAATAGAAGTGCCACAATGGCCTAATCTACGATGCCAAATCGAGCCAGATGAAGCAAGGGAAGACAAAGCAAGCGGTGTCTGAGGACTGAGGCTGACTGGATAGAGATGATCATGACTAGGAGCTTGCAGAAGGACCGTCCCCGAAAGTTTGTCCTTAACAAAAAAATAATTTTTATCAAAAATTACAACACAGTTGTTATCAGCACAAAGTTTTTGTATAGATAATAAATTAAACTTAATATGAGGCACATGAAAAACAGATTTTAACGTGAGAGGACGACCAGAAGAATGTAGATGAACATCTCCAATATTAGCAATGGGAAGTTTGGAACCATTAGCGACACTAATAGAAAGGGGTCCAGTATAAATTGATTTATTAACTAAAATACCTTCCGTAGGAGTCATGTGAGCCGAAGCTCCAGAGTCAGGATACCATAAAGCAGAGTTTGATTCCCCATTGGAGGTCAGCAAAGCTGGCGCAGATGGCGGAGCATATCGGGATGGACACTGAAGAGCAGAGTGACCTGCAGAGAAACAAAGCTGACAGACAACAGGCGGTGGAACAGAACCAAGAATTCCCTCACCCGATGGGAAGCCTGCAGAGCTAGCGTTAGTACAATAAGTAAAGCAGGGATTAATATTTAAAGTTGACAAAACAGAATTACATGCAGAACCTGAAGTGTTTGGACGAGAAGATTGCACCCCCTGAAAATAAGCTTGCTGCTGATTAGTTCCAGGCTGACCGAGCCCCTGCTGGCCGATGCCAGGAACTGCTGGATGACCTCCGTGAGATGGCGGTGCTCCTGCCGGCTGCTGTGCACCGAAAAACGGTGCTGCCTGGTAACCATAGGGCTGGTGTGGTGGCCCTCGGCCACGACCACGACCCTGGCGGCCTCCTCGTCCCCTGCCGCGGCCTCCCCTGCCGCGAGCTGCATAGCCCGACGGCTGCTGCCCCCCATTAGCAGCGACTGCAAAAGCTTGATGACTAATAGCTGCGTGTTGTTGACGTTCAGATAAAATTTGTTGTTCGGCTTCAAGGAGACGGGGTTCAAGAATGTCAAAGGGAAAGTTTTCGGGAAATAGAGATACAGTAGTGGCAAGAGGCTTGTAGTCTGGACCCAAACCAGCCAAAACAGACTGAAGTAACTCTTTATGCGAAACAGGAGAATTAATAGCGGCTAGAGCATCAACTAAATTCTTGATTTCCCGTAAATAAGCTTCCATGGATTGGGTTTCTTTCTTCTTGACATTGGACAATAATCGCTTAAGTTCCATGCATCGGGGTAAACTGGCAGACATAAATCTAGTCTGTAGTCTAGCCCAGATAGCAGCTGAGTGTTTCAGATCATGAACATCAACTAACACATCCCGAGTTAGAGTAGCAAACAACCAACATCTTATTGTTTGATCTACTCGGAGCCAATAATGATATTCTGTGTTTGGAACTGGGCGATTTAGATAATCAAAGTTATACATGGAGGGTACCTGAATTGAGCCATCCACCATGCCAAACAATCCTTGAGATACCAAGAAGGATTCGAACTGTGTGCGCCAGGTGAGATAATCTTCGACAGCTTTCAATTTAATGGTGACAATTTGAGAGACCGTAGTGATATGCGCCACAGATTGGGCAAGGGATGCCATTGGAGAGGAATGACCCGGCTGATCATCTGGACGAATCACACCCGGAGAGCCGGAGAAGGTGGAGCCAAAAAACGAGGAAGCCGGGACTTGAGGGCTGGAGAAGACCGGTTGCTGCGGCTGAATCGATGCCTGCGGCTGGAAAACTGGTTGATGTTCCGGAAAAATAGATGGCCGGGTAGAAACATAAGGGGAATTGTCAGCTATGGAAAAAGTTGGTGGTGGAGGAAAATTGGTGAAGAGAAGGGAAGAGGCCGGCCGCAACAAGGGAGAGCCGGATGTAGGAGATAGATGTGCAGCGGAGGAGGTGAAGACCACACTTGGTTGGAGGATTGATGTTGAAGAGGATTCCGGGGCAGAAGAAACGGCCAAGCTCATGGCAGCCGAAGCCATAGCGGTGGAGGAGGAGGCGGACGAAGCCATCGTCCGATAGTAAGGATCGAGAGAAAAAAAAATTAGGTTTGGGCTCGTGATACCATGTGAAAATAATGGGAAAGAGGTACTCCAATAGGAGTCCTGGCAGGTATATTTATATTAAACGAGAGTTTCCAAAAGACACAAAGTTTCCTAAATTATATAAACTATTACCCACTACTTCTAAAAATCTAAAATTGATAATAACGTTTCCATTTGTAGCGTACCGATTTCCATTTGAAAGTTAACCCATGATATTATATTCCATGCGAAGTTTTGCATTTTTTCCCCACTTTTGTGATCGAAAAAACATTGAATTTCTTATATGGCCCGTGTGCTAACCTTAGAGAATCTAAACTGTATACTACGTATTTTTAAAAGTATAGAGTAACGATACGGCTACCGTTGAATTAATGATCCCATGATTTCTAATAATTATCATTCATTTCTCAAAAAAGATGATACTTCATCCCTAAGACTCTGACACTAGTAAGACAATCAATTGGGAGAATTTAAATTTGACTTTTAATTATATATTGACAGAAAACGAGTGAGATTTTAACTCAAGTACGTACTTGTATAGGCCGTTCACATTTTTACAGTTAGTTGTCATTTTTTCATTTTTTATAATTTAAACTAAGTGATTTCTATTGTACTTCCACAACTTTTAATCTCCCCTATAGTTTGTCTCATTTAAAGCTGAGTAGCTACAAAATTTGTTTGTTGAATTAATAATATATACTCCCTCCGTCCCTAAATAAACTTCCATTTCGCTTTTCGGAGTTTTTTCCCGGAATAATGCTAATTAAATAAATAAATCCCAAAATACTGCCGGGTTAAGAATAATTCCCAAAATACTGCTGGGGTTAACCACGGTTAAGGAAAGCCGCCACTTCAAGTGGCGGCTCTTGTGAAGCTCTACAAAAGCCGCCATTTGGAGTGGCGGCTCTTGTGTCGTTGTATAAAAGCCGCCACTTGAAGTGGCGGCTCTTGTTAAACGTACCTTCTGCAGCACCAATTTAAACAACTAAACCTGTAATAACCTATAATAACCACCAATTTAAACAACTAAACCTGTAATAACCTATAATAACCAGATTATGTGCTCATCAGAGACTCAAAGTACATTCCAGTAAAAAAAAAAAACAACCAAACATATGATTTACTAAGAAAACATATACCCGAAACACAAAACGAATCAATGAAACTACATTACAACATACATCCAAAACACAAAACGAATGAATGAAACTTCATATTATGAGACTTTCACAAACGGAATCAGTACACCACAAAATTGAGTATGATCCATAAAAGTTATAATAAATCTGGTGTATCCCAAAATGATTCGATCTGCTAGTGCATACTACAACTTTCACACAATAAGTGAAATACAAATATCATAACTCAACGTGATCATCATCATCATGAAGCTCATGTAGTTGTGCTCGGGGACGTCTGCGCTGGTTACGAGGCTGAAGAACAACTCTATCACGTCGGACTGCCTGAGAAGACCCTGCTGCGGATGTAGATGCAGTGGAATGCTGAGACGCGGCCATATATCCATAATCGACTCGACCCAATACATCAGCACACAGTGAAACAATGCCTGAACAAGCGTCATGGTATCCCTGTACATCTACCGCCTCATCAAGTATAGCAGTCGCTCTGTCATGGATGCTACGCAAAGCCCGTGTCTGTAATGCAAACATGGTTATTAGTGAAAAACACATGAATAAATATATAAAGATATTTTCCCTTTGATTTGAGCTTCTTTTGGACGAGAACTGGCAAGAATCGGGGCACCACTCACGGCTGTCGTCGTCGTCCGTCGGTTGCTGCAGAGTGAGGTCTGCTTCGTTCGTCGCCTGGGAAGGAGAGGATATGTCTACGAATTAATGAGCCGCCACTTCAAGTGGCGGCTTTTGTATTGCTATTGAAGAGCCGCCAGTCCAATTGGCGGTTTTTGTGAATACAGTTCAAGAACCGCCACTTCAAGTGGCGGCTTTTCTTAACCGTGGTTAACCCAGCAGTATTTTGGGAATTATTCTTAACCCGGCAGTATTTTGGGAATTATTTATTTAATTAACATTATTCCTGGAAAAAACTCCGCTTTTCGAGGGTCAACTTAAATCACACTTAAACTCTTGCTTTATATATCAAAATTTTATAAAAAGTGAATTATTTTTTGCAGGCTTTGTAGCGGGTTTGATATAGTTTCTGAATATGTAAATTTTATTTTCTAAAAATAATCCGAGTTTTCACAGGAATCATTTAACTTTATCGCTGGTCAAACTTCGTAACCCGCAATTGGAAGTTTAATATGGGACGGAGGCAGTACTATCGTACTACGTACGACGTAGATAAGTTATCATGGTAGATAGGATATCCTGACGTATAGTAGAACATACTATCGTAATATTTTGAGTTCTACGTAATTTGGTTAGTGTTAGGGAAAAAGTTACAGGATGGTTGAGATGCAAATGGTAAAACTTTTCTCAACATGCATGTTTAGGAAAAAAGTTATAGGATATGTAACACTCATGTCCTTTTGTTTAACTCAGGTCCTTTTAAGGCTTGGAAAAGTTTTAATTAATACTTCCCATTAGGTTAATCTACCGCAGGTAGGTTTAGATATTTTAAATTTATCCTGCAAAGGTTAAACTCTAACATGCATATTGTAGTTCGAGTCAAAATGACATTTAAGTGAAACTTTAAAAATACTTTCCCGATTTGATACGTTTATTAAAAAGTAAGAATAAAGTGAAAATGTATGGTTACGATTAAGTATGAAAAAAATAAATGAATGTGAGACACACAAAACATTCCAAAAATGGAAATGAGAATAATATTTTAGGAAATCCCAAAATGATAAGTGATAAGAACTTTTTGGGACCGAGGGAGAATTAATGTTATTTGAAATATATTAATGTACTCGGTACTATATATTTTCTCTTAATAACTTTGTTTTTACCCCGGAACTTTCTCTTAATAACATGGATAGAAAAGCATCTAAATAGACTAAGGATGTTTTCTTTTGGACTGTTTTCAGTCCCAGACCAGACCAGACCAGACTTAAACAGACCAGACCAGACCAGACCAGACCAGACCAGACTTAAAACAGACCAGACCAGACCAGACTTAAACAGACCAGACCAGACCAGACTTCCGTAGTTATAAAATACACAGAGACCATACGTTTACCAGACCAGACCAGTTCAGACTAGACCAGACCAGTTCAAACCAGACCAGACCAGACTTAAACAGACTAGACCAGACCAGACCAGACTTAAACAGACCAGACCAGACCAGACCATCAAATTTCAGTCCAAAAGAAAACATCCTAACATTACCAAGAAATTAAATTGCTACGAAATGCAGATAGAATATGCACGCATAACTTGTTTTTTTATTTTCGGAAAAAATCCTCCCTAGATGCAAGAAAAGCTGCCTTATCCGCTAGTGAGTGAATTCAAATAATTTCTTTTAGAGTAAGTGAATGAAAATAATTGATATGTAAAGAAGAACAAACATTATAATAAACACACCTTTACAAAAATATTGGACATCATTCCTCTTACAAAGCTCATTGGGCACTATTCCCTCAGTCCGTCACATAACGCTTGTCGCAAAACTGGTTAAAATATAAGACCTTATTTAATTGACATTTCATTTTAGTTGGAATATGGACTACAAATATTTTTAATTGGACAAAATAAAAATTGTTTTTAGTTGGAATATGGACTACTCTAATAAATGTTTGATCTTTGTGTATATTATAATTGTCATATATAAGTGATATTTACACAATCTAAAAGTTAGATGGAGGTACGAATAGAGAAAAATACTTTCGAATTTGGATTCTTTGATTGGGATCTCGAATATATACCACTATAATTTGAAGTATATTTCATGTGGGGTGATCAGGGAATCCAAACAGGATTGAACCGAAGAGTAACCTACTACATGTTCCTCAACGCTAAAGACATGGTCCTCAAAGAGTGGAATATTTCTAATCGGTTGTCTTTTATTTCTAATTAGTTCTTTTGTTAGAAAAGTCCTTATCTATATGAAATATCATCAAAGATAAAGAAGAAGGTGATGATAAGAATGACATATACATATATAAAAATGTATATGTCAAAGTGGGACCATAATTTAATTAAATAATGTAGTTTGCAAAAAAATGTCAAAGTGTAGCGAAATAGTACTACGTATGTTATTTGACATTTTGACATGATTCATTTTCAAATATAAAATAAAATTTGTTGCAACATAAATGTCAAAAACAAAAATGAATATAACAGGAATAAGAATTTCTGTCGAATGCAAAAACACCTCAAACTCATACATTTTGAACTAATTTTCACGTACCAAATCTAATGAATTGAACAAATTTATTTTTCAGGCTCATATTCAAAAAGGCCAATAGTGTTTACAATATTAGTATCTAGCTCATTTAACATTTGAGATCAATTGGTGTTAGCCTTGTTGTAAAAATCAATTTGATTTTAAAAAGATATTCTGTATGAAGGACAAAGAGATTTTAGGAAAGAGTTTAAAATTTGTACACTATGCTCTCCATTAAAAAGTAAAAAAAATAGAGCTCTAAGATGAGCTTAGAACCTGGGACGTGTAGGTCTTCAAACACGGAACGTGCAAGCATGTGAATCAGTTAACTTCCATCTTGCCAAACTATTAGTTGAACACTTATTGACTTTCTTTGTTTTTATATCATTTCTTAACGGAATTATAAATAATATATATATATATATATATATATATATATATATATATATATATATATATATATATATATATATAAGAGATCACATACTAACCATGCTTAAAATACTAACTTACTAACTCAATAATATGCAACACATTAAACTTCAATATGCAGTACAAATAATGTAAAGATGCACACTGTGAATTTCAATATGCAATAAAAACAATATGCAAAACTTTGAACTTTAATATGCAGTACAAATAATATGCAACACTTTGAACTTCAATATGCAGTACAAATAATGTAAAGATGCACCGTTTTTGATAGTTTGTAGGTTAGCATGGGAGGAATGGTTAGTATGTGATCTCACCCCTATATATATATATATATATATATATATATATATATATATATATATATATATATATATGATGGTCCCGGATAGGGTAAAAGTCTAGAGGGGGGGTGAATAGACTTTTAAATCTTTTTCAA